TTGTTCATTGAAAACGTAATTGTGGTCTAATGTCGCCTCTGAAAATATTACGAATCCAATACGATGACCGAGAGATTAACAGAAAGGGCATATACATGGCGTAGAACATTTGTATGAACGGATTTTTTAAATATGTAGCTATACAGTCTCAACGGGATACATGGAGAACATTTTATTCGCTCAGTGTATCCGAGAATTACGTGAAATCACCTTATGATCTGGAGAAATCGTGAATCTACTATTGATTTATATTTTTAATTGTTTTTTTTCCTCGATTAAAATCGTGAGAATCATGTATATTATATTTACATCGCAATGAAATTATGTTTTGTGGATATTCTTTTGTACTTTGCATTCCTTATCCCTCTCCGAATTCGTAGTCCTTTGATTCGCCAGTATAATTCCTGTACAATTATATTCTTATGCCTTTCAGATTGAAGTAGTTTAGATTATTAAATAAAAAATGAGATAAAAAATTGTGGTATTATTCTTTTTTCAATTCATCTCTTGGAAGTTTTTATTGCGTCGGCTCCAGTGGAATTTCAAGGAATTTTGTCATGAAAAATTCATAATTTTGTAAAAAAAAAAATATTCTCAATTGTTAATGCCCCCACAATTGGCTTTACTCCTTATTTTTGTTCATTGAAAACGTAATTGTGGTCTAATGTCGCCTCTGAAACTATTACGAATCCAATACGATGACCGAGAGATTAACAGAAAGGGCATATACATGGCGTAGAACATTTGTATGAACGGATTTTTTAAATATGTAGCTATACAGTCTCAACGGGATACATGGAGAACATTTTATTCGCTCAGTGTATCCGAGAATTACGTGAAATCACCTTATGATCTGGAGAAATCGTGAATCTACTATTGATTTATATTTTTAATTGTTTTTTTTCCTCGATTAAAATCGTGAGAATCATGTATATTATATTTACATCGCAATGAAATTATGTTTTGTGGATATTCTTTTGTACTTTGCATTCCTTATCCCTCTCCGAATTCGTAGTCCTTTGATTCGCCAGTATAATTCCTGTACAATTATATTCTCATGCCTTTCAGATTGAAGTAGTTTAGATTATTAAATAAAAAATGAGATAAAAAATTGTGGTATTATTCTTTTTTCAATTCATCTCTTGGAAGTTTTTATTGCGTCGGCTCCAGTGGAATTTCAAGGAATTTTGTCATGAAAAATTCATAATTTTGCAAAAAAAAAATATTCTCAATTGTTAATGCCCCCACAATTGGCTTTACTCCTTATTTTTATTCATTGAAAACGTAATTGTGGTCTAATGTCGCCTCTGAAACTATTACGAATCCAATACGATGATCGAGAGATTAACAGAAAGGGCATATACATGGCGTAGAACATTTGTATGAACGGATTTTTTAAATATGTAGCTATACAGTCTCAACGGGATACATGGAGAACATTTTATTCGCTCAGTGTATCCGAGAATTACGTGAAATCACCTTATGATCTGGAGAAATCGTGAATCTACTATTGATTTATATTTTTAATTGTTTTTTTTCCTCGATTAAAATCGTGAGAATCATGTATATTATATTTACATCGCAATGAAATTATGTTTTGTGGATATTCTTTTGTACTTTGCATTCCTTATCCCTCTCCGAATTCGTAGTCCTTTGATTCGCCAGTATAATTCCTGTACAATTATATTCTTATGCCTTTCAGATTGAAGTAGTTTAGATTATTAAATAAAAAATGAAATAAAAAATTGTGAAAAAAATTGTGGTATTATTCTTCTTTCAATTTATCTCTTGGAAGTTTTTATTGCGTCGGTTCCAGTGGAATTTCAAGGAATTTTGTCATTAAAAATTCATAATCTGATGAAAAAATCAATGAAAATTGTAAATTTTAGTTCAATATAAAGTTTACATTAGTTATTCTTCTATACGTTCAATCCGAATGAAAAATAGCACAAAAAAATGTCTATTTCATTTGAAAAACGATTGCTAATTAAAAATATAAAATAAAAAATATAAATTTATCATTGAATATAAAATTTGTATTAGTTATTCTAAATGTTCAATCCAACTGAACAAATGGCACAAAAAATTGTCAATTTCATTTGCAAAACGACTGATAATGAAGAATATAAAATCTTTCGTTCAATAAAAATTTTTATTTGTCATCCAAACAAAAAAAACTGTCATTTCATTTGAAACCGTTTGGAATTCGCCTGTAAAATGAGCGCCCTCTCCCCGAGCTCTGAAAAAAGCAAAAAAGAAAGGGAATTGAGTTGCCGGAAGGGGTGAGTGAAGTCCAAAAGTCATCGGACTCCGCGCCTCTCTCACCTCGTCATCGTCACGAAGACACCTCCACCTTCCGCATAATCACGACAGTCCTCCACTCGACGCGCCTCCGGTGCCGACAGCAGACGTGAGTAATCCGGATTTATTCTCTCCGAGTGGAACCAGTTGTTCGGGGATTCACACAGGTGACAGAGCAGCTGTCCCTCGCGAGAGCGCAGGTCTCTGCCATTACCCCCTGACCCAGTGACCCCCATTTCCCCTCAGCCAATGCGACGAGTTCATTCGGATTCCACTCGACTTTCTAAAGCCACTGGGCGATAAATTTTTTTTTCAAACTCTTTCAAAACATTTTGAGCCGAGGACGCGTTAACATGGCACTGCAGGTGCAACAGCAGAATAACTATGAATTCGTGCTCAAGAGTCTTCTTGCCGGAGGTGAGTCTAGTCAATTTGTCGGATAATGGGAGTTGTTTTTGCTCTCGGCGCGTTTTCCCGAGCGGAAGTGCCCGGTTTGGGGATTTAATTATGAATTTTTGGAGCAGGTGTGGCGGGAATGTGCTCCAAGACTGCGGTCGCACCGTTAGACAGAATTAAAATCCTTCTTCAGGCGCATAATCAGCATTATAAGCATTTGGGTGAGAGAATTATTTAAAAAATAAAAATAAACAAGATCAATTAATTTTAAATAATTCTAAAACAAGATCAATTAATTTTAAATAATTCTAAAATTAATTGATCTTGTCATTATTAATTATTATTATCATTATTATTAATTATCATTTTATTATTTTTATTTTGAATTTTTTTTTGGTTTTTGCATTGATTTTTTTAAGTTTAGAGGGGGTGGAGAAGTTTTTGTGAGGAAAATCATTGAATTTTCATTATTAAAAGATGAAATAATTAAGTTTGTCTTCATTGAAATTTGAAAAATAATAAAATAATTGATGATCGAAATTTTTCAATTGACTGTGAATTAAATAATTAATAATATGGAGTTGTCGATTGATTTTTAATTGAAGAATTCTGAACTTCATGAAAGAGTATTCGATTAACTAAATAGGTAATAATCGATTAATTTAATGAGTTATAAATTGTTGAGAAATATGAATTGATTGATCTATTCAAATTAATCAATTCATCTTGTTTATTTTTAGTTTTTCATTTTTTTTTTAAATCTAGAGCAGATGAAGAATTTTTTGTCGGGAAAATAAAGAGCTGTAGAAAATTTCTCCAACGATTTCACTTTTTAATTCGTAAATTAATGCATCAATTAGTTAATTAATAAATTAATGCATCAGTAAAATTAATTAGTCTTGTTATTTTCTTTTTTCATCAATATCTTGGGATCTAAAATTGATAAAACCATTGTATGAATCGAAGCAATGAGATTGCAATGACCTTCATCTTTGAACTCTGTCGGAAGGTTATCGAAATAATTTTTCACAGGAACAATTTTAAAAAAATGCATAAATTAGCAACTAAAAATCACGAAATTAATCGATGAATATATTCATTTCTTTTAATTTTCAAGGAATAGTTGAAGTAAAATCTGTTATTTCCATTGATTTTTCCATCAAATTGTCAATTTTTACACTAAAAAAATTAAAAACTCCAAACTATTGTTTAAAAAAAATTCAAATTGATTCATCAGTTCACAATAATTCGTCTAAATCAATTTTTCCTTCACAAAATGAACGAAAATTTCAGGCGTTTTCTCTGGGCTCAAGGAAATTGTTCAAAGGGAGAAATTCTTTGCTCTTTACAAAGGAAATTTCGCCCAGATGATAAGGATTTTTCCCTACGCAGCTACTCAATACACATCTTTTGAAATGTATAAAAAGGTAAAAGGGAAAAGTAAATCATTCTTAATTAAAATGTTTTTGAGAAGTGGGACAGTTGAAATAGAATAGAATAGACAACGATGAGTGACAGGAGATCTGTGGAATACTCTAATACCAATTCATAACAGTACTTAGGGACTATTTTTGGAAAACACACGCACATAGACAAGTTCTTCGCGGGCTCGTGCGCTGGAGTGACTGCTGTTACATTGACATATCCTCTTGATACTATCAGAGCGAGATTAGCATTTCAAGTGACTGGGGAGCATATTTACAGTGGCATTGTTCACACTGCCGTGACGATTTTCAAAGATGTGAGTTTTTGCTTTAAAAACAGAATTTTGAAATTATTTTTTTGTGAAATGTTGATGATCGATGATGAATTAATTATACTGTTGGAAAATTGTAGCCGAAAAGTCAATTTGAAAATCTGGAAGATCAAGAGAACTATTTATTTTATTTTATTTTTTCATTTATTTATTTTGTTTTTATTTTTTTTTATTTTTTTTATTCTCAATTTGTTAAAAATTGAAGACGAATAAAAAAATTAAATGGAATTCAAGTCCACGTCGTGGGTTTTTGTAAATATTAATGCGTAGTTGAGAATTAATGATTAATGATTAATTCATTTAACTGGGAGAAAATTATTCTTCAAATTTCAACTTTAAATTTTGAAATTTGTAGAGAGAATTGTAAAAACGCCTTTTCTTAAGCCACAATAATTAGAATCCAACAGTAAATATGATAAAAAATTAATACAACTATTTTTTTTAAATTCTCAATTTCTAAAAAATTAAATTCCGTCGGATTTTCAAGACGAATAAAAAATTTCCTGAACAATTCGACCTTAAATTGACCTCAAGTCCCCATTATATATACTTTTTAAAGAAATATTAATCCACAATAATTTCAAATTAATGATCAATGATAAATTAATTCCACTGTTAAAAAATTCTTCTCAAAATTCCAATTTCAAAATCTTCAAATTCTAAATCTTCGTGAAATTTGAAGAGAGAATAATAAAAATAACATTTTTTAATTCCCAGAAATATCAATCCATCAGTGAAAATCATAAAAAATTAATGCAACAATTTTTTTTTAATTCTCAATTTCTAAAAAATTAAATTCCGTCGGATTTTCAAGACGAATAAAAAATTTCCTGAACAATTCGACCTTAAATTGACCTCAAGTCCCCATTATATATACTTTTTAAAGAAATATTAATCCACAATAATTTCAAATTAATGATCAATGATAAATTAATTCCACTGTTAAAAAATTCTTCTCAAAATTCCAATTTCAAAATCTTCAAATTCTAAATCTTCGTGAAATTTGAAGAGAGAATAATAAAAATAACATTTTTTAATTCCCAGAAATACCAATCCAACAGTGAAAATAATAAAAAATTAATGCAACAATTTTTTTTAAATTCTCAATTTCTAAAAAATTAAATTCCGTTAAATTTTCAAAACGAATAAAAAATTTCCCGAACAATTCGACCTTAAATCGATCTCAAGTCCACCTTATGTATTTTTTAAAAGAAATATTAATGCATAATAATTCCAAATGAATGATTAATAAAAAAAAAAAATACCGCAAATATTTTTTTAACTCTCAATCTCTTAAAAATCCAGTTCCCCAAATTGAATAAAAACCTGCAATGAAAAAATTTCATGCATTTGTCCCTTGAATGCCAAAGAAATTTCCAACGATATAATGAGTAATGTACGAATAAATTTTGTAGCGAAGCGGTAAACCGGTTTAAGTCGATTTAGACTATTGGTCAGTTTTTAACGAATATCTCGGAATCTAAGGAAGATAGTTATGTTCGTGTAATAACCTTTTTTGTAGCTCTTAATTCGCTCTACAAAAAAGGTTATAATGACAATTTCGCTATTTCTCTTAGATTCGGAGATATTCCTCGAAAACTCAGCGAAGAGTTAAGTCGACTTGACCCGGTTTACCGCTTCGCTACTGAATTGTAGGAAGGGGGATTATCAGCTCTCTACAAAGGCTTCTGGCCCACAATATTCGGGATGATCCCGTACGCCGGCTTCTCCTTCTACTCCTTCGAATACCTAAAATTCCTCAGTATGAAGTACGCACCCCACTACCTCTGCAATGACTGTCACAGAAACACAGGTGAGTGATGATGACGAAAGAATAGAGTAACAATGGTGCAGCCACAAATAACCAAAGCTCTAAGTTTATATTCTTTTATTACATACGTATTCAATTAGCATAAGATGATACAATGAATGAAAAAGTGTGATTGAAACATGAGTGACGAGAGATTTTTCCCTAAATTCAATTACCAGTTGATAATTATCTGATATTTATCAATGACAATTATACGATAATTATCCTCGAAAGTTTATGATCGATTCAACTCAATATTCTACTGCAATAAAATTAATAGTTAAGAAATAATAGTAATCGAAGGAATACTTGTGCATTACAAAGAGAATAATGGTTAATGATACATAATATATTTTAATCAGGTGGCCTTGTATTAACATTGCCAGCGAAATTACTCTGTGGGGGTATCGCAGGAGCTGTAGCACAAAGCTTCTCCTATCCACTAGACGTCACCAGAAGACGAATGCAATTAGCCATGATGAATCCTGCTACACACAAATATGGGTAAATTATTTGTTGGTTCACTGTTGGGTGACAACTGAATTTTCGGGATTTGTTTGAGTGAAATTTCCAGGGAATTGGGGTTTAATTCGATTTAAGGGGAAAGAATCGCGAAAATTTCACATTTCAGGGGAAATTTTAGAGAGTTGAATTTAATTTAAGGCGAGAATTCCGCAATTTACTGTTAATTTTTGTTTTGTTAAAAATGAAAAACATATTTTTGGTGAAGTGTGATTTTTATATGACGGAATCTACTGAAATTTAAGAGAATTCGCAGTCGTTTGAAGACGAAAATTCTCCAACTTTCTTCAGTTTCCAATAAATTTGAAATTATAGTGAAGATTTAATGAAATAATTGAACGAAACCTCTGATTTTTAGTTTATTTATTCTCTGGAAATGACTAAAAATGAAGAAAATTCATGTGAAAGTTAAGAAAAAAGATAAAATCTTCATATTCCTCAAATTTTAATGAATTGAGAATGGAATTCATCTAATTTTTCCTGATTTCTACCCATTTTCATGGACTAATTAATTTGAAATTGACAGTTTTCATTAATTTCCCCTTTAAATTATGAATTTTCCATTCCAAAATTCCATGAAATTCCAGTGTAACTGTCACACGATAAAAATGTCTAAAAATCTCTAATAAATTGTCCCAAAATCTGCCTAATTCGCCATTTTTTCGAAGTCATGAATAAAAAACATAATGAAAATTTATGGAAAAATTTAAAAGAATTAGAAAATCCTCGTCTTCCTCAAATTTTAATGAATTGAGAATAGAATTCATCTGAATTTTCAATGAAATCCACTGAAACTTCAGTGCAATTACGAAAATTTTAGATTTTATTGGAAATTTAATGGAATTCTCAGTCGTTTAAAGACGAGAATTCTCCAACTTTCTTCAATTTTCCATCATATGAAAATAAAACTCAAGTATTAATGAATTAATTAAACAGAAACTCAATTTCATTTCAATTATTCCCTGGAAATCACTAAAAATGAAGAAAATTCGTGTGAAAATTCAAAAAATTAGAAAATCCTCGTTTTCCTCAAATTTTAACGAATGGAGAATGGAATTCATGTACCAATTGATCCGAAATTAACACTTTTCGTTAATTTCCCCATTAAACTATCAATTTCTCAACAAAAATTTTGTTTTTCAATTCCAAAATTCCGTGAAATTCCACTGAAACTGTCCCCTGCACGAAAACTTCTAAAAATCTCCGCCAAATTCTCCAGAAATCTGACTAATTCCCCATTTTTTCAACAGCTCTGGGATGATATCGACGATGAAGCTCATTCACAACGAGAATGGCATCGTCAAGGGCCTGTATCGAGGCATGAGCATTAACTACCTCCGCGCCATTCCAATGGTATCTGTCAGCTTTACCACTTACGAAGTTATGAAACAATTGCTCGATCTCGATACCGGAATGAAAATTTAACCGGAGTAGATACGAATTTTTCTCGTTGATGAATGTCAAGTGAGTTGCAGTGGGCGAAACTTTATCAATAGAATGAAAAAAAAAATGGAAGAAGCTTTATCTCGTGCTCGTGACATTTGAATGGAGATGAGAGACAGGTTTCGTTGACATTAATCGTTATTAAACAATAGTTTGATTATTCTATTGAGACTGGCCAATGTACAAAATACATTATCCCTCAACTTATCTTAATTAATTACTGGATAAATAGGGGAGGGCTCAACCCAATTGAGGTAGACGATAAAAATGTCCTCAACTTGATTTTAGAAATGCAGAGGATTCTGAAGGGAGCAAAAATGTGAGAATTTTCCCAACTAAAAAAGAAAAATTTTGCAGTAAAATTAATTACTGTTGGAATATGGTAGAAGGGTTTTAAGAAATATAAATTCTCTCCTCATAATTGTAGAATAAAGTATGATAAATAAAATATTTTTTCTACCAACGTGTTATTTCCAAATAAAAAATCCTCCTCACAGTTGAAAAATAATGGAATTGGAATTTCATGTGGTGATTAACGAATGTAAAGTATCATGAATAAAACAAAATATTTTTTCTACCAACTGTTATTTATAATTAATAACAATGCATTTCAGACGACTCAATCCACCAACGGGTTTTCACTGGATAGAAAAAAATACATGCGACTTTAATTCACAATGTTTTTTCTTAGAATTTATTTCCTCGTTTCTGAATTGAAGAATAAAATCAGGTGATTGTAAGAGGTACGAAGAGCAAGGCGAATCGTTCGCTTCACAAGTACATGTTCTTGATTATTTGTTGTTGAAATCAGGTTCTCATCAATTAGAAAATCGCAGAGCCACTGTCTCGTGTTTAATCAGTGTTGTAATCGTGAAAATTCAACAAGCTGACACACGAATTTTCCTCATCCCACGGTAATTAATTAATTCTGACGAACAGAGCGTCATCAAATTCCATGAATTAAAAACAATTTCAGCTACGAAAAACTATTTATTACACAATTGGCAGTTGGGTTGAATCACAAATAAACAGAGACTAAAATTAATCTGTCAGCTTGCCAAAATTTATTCCCTCGAGCAGAAGAACTCAATTTCATTCACAAATAATTCCCAAAAAATATAAAATAGTCGTGAATAATACGACAGATTAAACAGGAACATAAAATCCACAAAATCGTCCACCGAAGCTCGGAAAAATCAGGCCATGTGTCAAAGAGTTACGCAAAATGTGAGAATCATCTGAATACAATAAATAGAGTAAATACAAAATAATCTATACATCAGGGTCCATTTTCCTCGTGTCATGTACCAAGTACCCGCCCAGAAATTTTGCGCAATTCCGCATTTCTCAAACATTTTATTTTGTAGGAAAAAAAAAGGATTCACTCTCATGTGTTATTTTCATCTCTCATTTATCATTTTATGTTTCACGTGATACAAAATGAGGGGAAAAAATGCTCAGCCCTCACCCACGGGTGAGCCGATATTTTTTATGATTTCTTTCGTCTTCAGCGCTATTTACTAAGTTAATTTAAAATTCTCTACGATGCGCAATTCCACCCTCGACTTGTGCCTCGTCTGTCTCGGGTTTCAAATTGTTTTCCTCAATTTTTTGGATTCTCCTCGGTTATTCCTATCTGAAAGCCACTCTAGGAGCACTACAGTATTTTTTTTTTCATTATTCCATTATGCATGCTTATGAATACGTCCTATGAATACATCTCTATCGTGTTGATTGGTTTAGAATGATTTTTCATGGCTTTGAGATTCTGAAATGAGAAATGTTAATTTCACTCATCATTCAGTTTTTCATTAATATCTCGGGAATTAAGCGAGATGGCGATATTTTCGTGAGGACCTTATTTGTAGCTCTCATTCTTCTCTACAAAAAAGGTTATTACGAAAATTTCGCTATCTCCATTAGATTTAACGATATTTTCGAAAAACCGGGTTGCAAATGAAGCGAAAAAAAAATTTCTCTTCATTTCTAGTTCAGTTTTTGGTGAATAACATTGGATCTAATGGAGATGGCGAGATTTTCATGGGAACATTTTTTGTAGAGAAAAGTAAGACCTACAAAAAAGCTAACTACAAAAATTTACCTATTTTTCTTAGATCTCCCGATATTGCCAAAAAACTCAAAGACAAATAAAACGAAATAAAATTTTGTTTTCATTTCTGCTTCAGTTTTTGGTAAATATCTTTGAAATGAAGCGAGATAGCGACATTTTCGTTAGAACCTTATTTGCAGCTCTCATTCTTCTCTACAAAAAAGGTTATTACAAAAAATTCGCCATCTCCATTAGATTTCAAGCTATTTTCAAAAAACTGAAAAACAAAACTAAAAAAATTTTTTTTCATGTTTATTTCATTATTTTGGAAATTGTCCTTTCCAATGGCTCTCATTAACAATAACGAATGACACGACACAACACTGCAGGATTGTTTTGGCTTGCATTATACAATTTAATTACCCATAAGCATAATTTATCCTTATCAATTAAAACGATCGCAACAACGACCAATTCTCCAAAAATTCACAGATTGTGGTTTGATGCAAGAGTGTATTACCACCGAATATATTGACAAATAATTCACCTGAAACACCAAGACAATTAGCACAAAAAAATAATAATAAATAAAAATAAATGTCCTTTGAATTGTATTATTTATTACGTTACCATGAAAAAAAAAAGATAATATGGAGGATATAATAATCAATGAATTCAATGAAATGATGCAGTCTGTACAGAATATAAATGGTCTTGAAGGAGCGTATTGTGATAGTGGTCCGCTGTAGCTCACATGGAAAAACTTTAATTCACCGACAACAATTGATTATCTCGATTGCTCAACTCTTAATCCTATTAATTTCATTTTCACATTATTTTAAAATCATCATTTATCGAGGAACGATTAAACACCTAACACTAAACCTCACAATTTACCATTTATTTCATTTATTTTCAATTTTAGTTCCATCGGCTGTTAATTAATAGTACGGGTCAAGTCACTATTGCATCAACCCATTTCCAACTGCTCGATTAATTCCAAATATTCGCAACTCCTCGTATTTTTTTCATAAAAAAAAAAATTACGTCACAAATAGCTATACAAATATTGTAATCGTAATGCAGAGCAGCTGTTGAAAAATGTCCCCTCAACAATGAATGTCTCATCCAATCGATTCGACAAACAGCTCAAGAGTTTCAGAAGTTTGTTTGTTGTTGTTTTTTTTTTCCAGTAGTCAAGAGTCTCACACTGACACGTGGCTAGTTATTATTGATCAACACGTCCTCATCCTGTTGTATTAATTGTACTATTTCTACTTCGTAAAAATATAAGCCATCAGTTGGCAGATTAAACTCAATCGGTGAATCGATTTATCCCGTTTAATTTATGTCTACAATGATTTTTTCCTCATCCCTCGTGTTTATATCGTTCTCCGGTGTAAAAGTGTTTGTGTCTAGTCTAGATAAATGTGTTTATCGAAATGTTTTCATCTCTTTTTCAGTTTCAGCAGACATGAACACGTGGCCCGTACTGATTAAACACTGTTGAGCCAGCCGTACAATACTTGGGGGGCTATGTAATGGCGCAGGGATCTTCATTATTCATGTTTCATCGTTTATTCTTTATTCATTGAATATTTGTTTGAATTTTTGTATGAATTTTTTTTTTGTTTTTGTGGCATCACTAGAAAGCCAACTCCAATCCCCTACCTTATAAATCTATCCTCCCAGGGGGTGAAACCATCTTACAGGAAGTAGTCGGGCGTCCGTCTGGTTACGTGTGGCTCGCCACGTCTTGGGGCTGGATCGAACTGAAGGCTGTGGAGATAATTCAATTATTACTTTTTTTTTACTTAATGATTCAATTGGTCATTTTGGGTTTTTGTGGGGGTGAGGGAAAATTATTCGACGATTCGGGGTCAATATTTTCTTCATAATTTATCTGAACATTTTTATTTGAATATTAAATGGAATTTAATGGGTTTTGTAATCAACTTTTTTTCATTTTGTTCATTTTTCTGGATCAATATTTTTTTGCATAATTTATTTACATATTTTTATTTAAAGATCGAATAGAATTGAATGGATTTTTCAATCGAATTTTTTAGTGATTTTTAAAATTTTGCTCATTTACCTGTTTTTAGGAGAATTTATTCAGTACTATTTTATTCTCTTTTAATAAAAAGAGGAGACATATTCATCAATTATTCTAGATCCATATTTTTTATCATAATTTATCTCAATATGTTCATTTAAATCATTAAATCGAATTTTTTAATCAACTTTTTTCAGAGAGCGAGGTTTTCATATTTTGTTAATTTGCCTGGTTTCAAAGGAGTTTATCCCATATTATTTTATTCAGTTTGAATAAAAAAGGGCAAATATCCTTCAATTTTTCTCCATTAACGGTCTTTTCATAATTTATCTAAATATTGCCATTTAAACATTAAATAGAATTAAATACAATTTTCTTATTTTGTTCATTTCCATTTTTAAAAGGAGTTTACTCAATATTATTTTATTTTCCTTGAATAAAAAAATTGCAAATATTCACTTTTCCCGCATCAATTTTTTAAATAAATTATGGAAACATTTCGTTTAAATAAATTATGGAAACATTTTCCTTTAAACATGGCATAAAATGAATAAAATACAACAAAATTGAAGGTAATTTAATAAATAATCAATAGTCTTTATGTTTCGTATTTGTCTCCTTTCAGAGGAGTTAATCAATCATTTTTCTCCTTAAATTTCAGTAAATTAATTACTGATTATACTCACAATGAATATTTCAAAGCATCATCCAGCTCCATAATCGCAGCCTGATTGCCGCAACGATAACAGTAATTTGGGGCTGAGAATATTGTAACGACATTGCGATCGTGACACCAGTTGTAGCCCTCCATGACGAGCTGGTGAGCCCTTGATACGAGAGTCAGACCATTTGAATGATTAAATGTTTCAGATATATCTTGGCCGAATGTGTATCCCGCCCCACGTGGTGAGATACCCCATCCTCCTCTGTCGTCAGGGTCTGACCACAGAAGATCACACATTGGTCCCTAAAAAGAAAAAACATTAATTAATGGATAATTATCTGGAAATTAAATTAATCGATTTCACTTTCACTCCGATTCAATTGATTTTTGATGAATAAAAAAAACAATTTTCATTAAAAAAATATAAATCTACAAGAATATTTCTAAAGAAAATGTTAAAAAAATTTTCTGTATTCTTTAAACTCTCAAGTGATCAATAAAAAATGAACTAGAATTGTTGTTTTACTTGATTTTTTAATTAAAATGAGAGAAGTGGTGGATTTTTAATTTTTTACCTCGTGTGGCACTTCTTGGAGACGATCTAGTGCACGAATGTGATCAAGGGTGTCGATTGAGGGTGACAGACCCCCGTGCAAACAGAATATTTGACCGTCGACCAGCGCAGTCAATGGCAGAAAATCAAATAAATCGGTAAAAAATTTCCACACATTGGCGTTACCATATTTACGTAGACACTCGTCGTAGAAACCGTAGACTTGTGTTATTTGCCTCGACTCGTGGTTACCACGAAGAATGGTTATTCTTTCCCGGTATCTCACCTGAATGCACACAAAGTTTATTAATATCCTTCTTTATGAGAAAATAATTCATGCTGTTGAAGGAGGGGAATTTCAACGAGTGAGTTTTCAACGAATATCTCGAAATCCGAGGGAGCTAGCGAAATTTTCGTGGAGACCTTTTTTACAGCGCAAACTGAGAGCTACAAAAAAGGTCCTGACGAAAATTCTGCTATCTCCCCTAGATTCGGAGATATTCCTGAAAAACTCGAGTGAGACATGAGTCGAGTTGACTCGTTTCATCGTGATGATCGAAACATTCTCTTGTTCGTTAATTTATTATCATTTATTCAGGGAATGATGTCTTCATGTTGGCATTCCGCTTCCTCATTGTTCACTAAGTGTTCTGTTATAATTTTTTTCTTTTTGTTTGTTTCTTTTTTTTTTCAAGAAAATTTTCTATCTTCACTTGCATTTCACGTGATTTGTCTCTCGTTTTTTTTTTTTTGGGGAATAGTGTTGTTTAGAGGGATGGAGTTGTTATGAACTATTAATTTAGTACTAACTTTTAATGCAACGAGAAGGGTTACAGTCTCAACGGAGTAGTATCCACGATCGACGTAATCACCCATAAACAGGTAGTTTGTATCGGGGGATTTGCCACCTATTCGAAACAGCTCCATCAGATCATGGAACTGTCCATGAACGTCACCGCATACTGTTACTGGACATTTTACCTCCTGGACATTTGACTCCTTGGCCAGTATCTCTTTAGCCTGAAACAATTTTTCATTATCTCGAATTACGGATGTTGATTGATAGTGGTGTTATTTAATCGTTTGTATCTGCGGAGGGAATGATGCGATTTGGATGAGTCAGGGCTCATTGTGAAGGCTGAAAAAATGGCTTGAAAATGAAGAAAAAGTTGTGGAATTTCACTCTGCGAATCTCCAGTTATTCACGATTAAAGCAGGGGATTTTTTCCTCGTTTTTCTTGTTCTTTACGATTTTTCAAATTTCAAAGTTTCTGATAACTAAATCAATATCTCCGGATCAAATGATCCGATTTGGGCGAATCAGGGCTCATTTTGAAGGCTGAAAAAATATCTTGAAAATGAAAAAAAGTCGTCAAATTTCACTCTGCCGATCTGGAGATATTAACGATTGAAGAAGGGAATTTTATTCTCTTCTCTTTTCATCATTACTTTTCCCAAAATTCAGGTTCTGATTTCTAAATCAATATCTCCCGATCAAATGATGCGATTCGGACAAGTCACAGCTCGTTTTAAAGTCTGAAAAAATATCTTGAAAATGAGGAAAAAATCGTGGAATTTCAGTCAGTGGATCGTGAGATATTGACGATTGAAAAAGGAGAATTTTACTCCCCACTCCCTGAATCATTACAATTTTCTAATGCAACAACTGCATTGTCATCGAATAATTGAGAATACCGAGCTGTACGTACAAGATAATTTCGCGGCCAAATATTTTCCCGGTGAATTAACTAGTATTCCCAGTAAGTCTGCAATTAGATTCAATGACGGAGTTGTTTATGATGAAAGAAGAAAATCCGGAATTCTTTCCTCATTGTTGGGGTGATTATTCCCAGAATTTCCCAGGACCTAATGACTATTGATTTTTCTATGTACTTGCTGATGAAATGTGGGAGGAAATTTCACAATTTCGTGGATATACTGCCCCAGAACGAAATAAATCAATATTTCGAGACGATTTCGGAGTTGATTCGGGGCAACTGTTATTAATAATCATTTAGCCTGAGGCTACTAAAATATTTTTAATGTTTCGCTTGATTTTAATAGTGAGTTGAAGCCTTCGAAGGAAAGAAAAGTGCTGTGAAATTATCTAGAGCTCCTCTTGGAGACAAAGAAATTGTTTTTTTGTTGACCAGAAAATTTTTTAATTCTTGAGGAGGAAACAAACAATTTCCATTCAAGAGAACTAATTAATTCATCATTAATTAATTGGGAATATTGAATTTTAACAGCGAAAAATTCAGAATGTGAAGGAAAATTTCACAACGTCGAGAGTAAATTCCCCCAGAAGCGAAGACAACAACTTGTTGCTAATTAATTAACTGTTGGATATATTTAAATCGAGTCTATTAATATATCCTCAATGTTTCGGTTGATGATAATAATAAATACGAGCCTTCGATAGAAGAAAAAAGAGTTGTAAAAATATCTACAATGACTTCTGGGAAATAAATAAATTGTCTCTGTTGATTGGAAAATTTAAAAAAGGGAAGAAAATGAGTGATAATTTTAATTATTTCAGATTTGTGAAAACCATCCAGATCATTAATTAATAAATAATTGACCGCGATTAAAACCCGAAGACAACGTTAAAAACCCCAAACTCAAATCATCTAAAAAATTTTTTTAATGGTTTTAACGGAAATGATCTCGATAATTAGATAATAATCAAATCGGATAAAAATCGGAAAACGTCGATTAATCGTTAATAGTTAATTTATTTTCTCGACAATATGCGAAAAAAAATCGTTAATAACAAATGGAAACCGTCGAAAGAAGGAAAAAAATGTCAAATTATCTTCAATCGATTCTCGAAAATAAATAAATCATTTTTAACCAGATAATTAAACAATTCATTAAATTAAATAAATTAAATGAACCATTCTAATAGTTTAATCACCACAGATTTGTGGGAAATAAACAAATGATCTCTGTTAATTGAAATTTTTTTTAATTATCGAGGAATAAACTAATTTTAATATTTTAGTCGTCACAGATCTGGGGAAATGATCCCGATGATTAAATAATTACTGAAATTCGATAAAAACTCAAAAACGTTAAATAACCATTAATAATTAATTAATGTTCCCAACAATGTGTGAAGAAAATTGTTAATAAAAAGTCCCAACTTTAAAAAGGAAACAAAACTGTCAAATTATCTTCAATCGATTCTTGAAAATGAATAAATCATCTTTAACTAGAAAATTAAGCAGTTAATTAAATTAAATAAATTAAATTAACAATTCTAACAGTTTAATCCCCACAGATGTGTGTAAACCCCCCAAATAATTAATTACCAAACAACTGAGCCCCAAAAAACCCCAAACTCAACCCAAAAAAAAAATCAATTAACTGGTTCATTAATAGCAATTAATTCTCTCCATAACAAGCGAGAAGGAAAAAAACTGTTGTAAAATCGTCTCCAATCACTTCTTGGAAATAAACAAATGATCTCTGTTAATTGAAAATTTTTGAAATCATTGAAGAATTAACTAATTTTAATATTTTAGTCGTCACACATCTGCGGAAATGATCCCGATGATTAAATAATTACTGAAATTCGATAAAAACTCAAAAACGTTAAATAACCATTAATAATTAATTAATGTTCCCAACAATGTGTGAAGAAAATTGTTAATAAAAAGTCCCAACTTTAAAAAGGAAACAAAACTGTCAAATTATCTTCAATCGATTCTTGAAAATGAATAAATCATCTTTAACTAGAAAATTAAGCAGTTAATTAAATTAAATAAATTAAATTAACAATTCTAACAGTTTAATCGCCACAGATTTGTGTAAATCACCCAAATAATTAATTACCAAACAACTGACCCCGATAAAAACCCCAAACCCCCTCTAAAGAAATGTCAATTTCCCAGATAATTAATAACAATTAATTCTCCCGATAACAATCTAAAAGTTCGTTGCAAGACGTATCAATGAATCACATCCCTCATGACGTAGTACGAAGGCTGAACATCTATAAAAAAAATAAACTCAGCCCTCAGGCCGAAAAATAAACGCCGATGTCTCAACAATAATAACTCGTAAATGAAAATCCCGGGGATTCCTCAGGCCCCAGTGGCCCCGAGTGTTCATTAACAAATGTTTCAGCATGACATACCGCCCAATCCTTGCCAATTTCACCCAACGCACGCATTCTGGACGGCCAGAGGCCGACAAAATACCCCACAGCCCCGGAATTGTCGAGCCAGTGACCACCGGAAAAATCATTTCCCCGGCAATTAATATTTTTGTTAATTGGGGAGACGTACCTTGTCGCAGAGAGTTTTAACTTGACTTTCTGTCAGTTGTTTGCAGTCATTTAACTGTTCTATCCACTGGTCAAGCTCCTTGAGTGATGCCTTCTCCTCCATCGTAATCCCACGGATTTATTTATTACAGGAAATCGTAAACCTAACACTCAAGCACATGTAATTTTAATTCCAATTTAAGCTACGGTTTAATTGCTGGAGCCGAGACTAAATCATCGGTTTTAGTTTTTGTGAAAAATGCCTGCCCACCCAACACAAATATCACCGTTTCGGAGTACACACTCACAAAATGGCCGATTCTCAGAGTGTCGGGAGGTGACGTCACGCGGTGGAGCGATGGAGGGGGCAGTACGGGCTGTGGGGGCAGCACTGCCGGCTGCCCCGACGGATGAAACACGCGAAATCGTAAACACGGGAGTGACGAGAGGAATTATCGCGGTTTTAATCGTGAATAAGGCGAGAATTGTGCAGGGAAGGGCAGTTGGTGCATTCGGTGCATGAAGGTATTTTTTTGGACTTTAAAATGAGATCTCATTCGCCAAAATGGCGGGTTTTGGGCGGGAGGTGTTGATGTTGGAAAGTGGAGCTTCGGTTTTTGGGAGAGAGAAGGGAATTAAATGTTTGTTTTTAATTGGGAATGAGGGGAGAGCGGTTAGGAGAAAGTAAATATATATTTTTTGGGTTTGAAGGGGCTTTTTTGGACTTTAAAATGAGATCTCATTCGCCAAAATGGCGGGTTTTGGGCGGGAGCTGTTGATGTTGGAAAGTGGAGCTTCGGTTTTTGGGAGAGAGAAGGGAATTAAATGTTTGTTTTTAATTGGGAATGAGGGGAGAGCGGTTAGGGGGAAGTAAATATCTTTTTCTTGGGTTTAAAGGGATTTTTTTGGGGGTCACAATGAGATCTGACTCGTTAAATCTGTTTTATTTGGTCAGGAGATTCTGATGGCGTCACTGGGAACTTTGGGATTTGGAAAATTGAATAAAAACGAAGGGAATGAAACGAGTCGGTGTTATAATCGGTAATAACTAGAGATTGGCAGAGTGAAATTTCCCGATTTTTTTTTCATTTCAAAGATATTTTTTCAAGGTTTAAAATGAGCACTGACTCGTCCAAATCGCATCATTGGGTCGTGAGATATTGATTTGTTATTGAAAACATGAAATTTTGCAAATGGGAATAATTAAGATTGAAGGGATTAAAACGCTTATTTTTAATCCCAAATAACTAGGGATCGGTTGAGTAAAATTCCCCGACATTTTTTCCATTTCAAAGATATTTTTTCAAGTTTTAAAACGCCCGCTTTCTCATCCAAATCGCGTCATTTGATCGCGAGCCATCGATTTTTAACAACATTCATCTCCCTTCCCTTCTACAACAGTTCAATTCAACAAAAATAAAGCAGTTCTCAACTAGATAAAATTCCTTGGAATAAATGAAAACTGTTGATTTATTTTGGTGAGTGTGCGCGAGCCCCCGCGGCGTAAATATTGACCTCAGTCTCCTCAGTGTTTGTTTGGGAACTGTACAGACTGCTTCGTGTTTGGGTGATTCTAAAGTGAGTGAAGTGTTTTTTCTCGCGTTAAAAGTGTTTAGTGCGGATTTTCGATGTTCGAAATGAATTTGTTCTTCCCCGGAGGTCAGAGGAACATGCGGGCACCGGCGGAGGTGAGTCCAGACAATAATTCCTCAGTTATTTTGAATCGTCCGTCCAACCTAACCTGAAATACTTCGCCAAATCGCCGGAGTTATTCGCGTGAATTTAGAATTGAGGCAGTGAATTGGGTTTTGGGGAGCGAATGAATTTGGTAATTGCGGCTTTGGGGGTTATTAATGGATCCAGCGGGTATTTCGGGATTTGGGGGGGGGGGGGGGG